AATGCAGTCGGTGCGTGCACGCTCCGAAGTACAGTCTTGGCGGAAGAAAATGAGTCCTATTACTTTCCGGACAAAAACTGTATAGCTTCCGTGGCGTAAAAACGGGATAACGTGGTTATAACGACATTTACCAGCGAATTGTCAAAAAATCAACAACGGACATAAATACCTACGCCAATTGCATTTTTAGACGTAAATGCGGTTTTCTATTCAAATGTGGCCTAAGAACTTTTTCCCCAAACCTTTTTAAATGACGACTACATTAGTCGTTAGTGTTGTTTTTTCTTCTCTGTACACCTGATCAGAAAATACTTGCAGAGCCTTTATTTTTGAGGTATACCTTGATTATCACTTTTTTTTTATCAGGAAATAATAAGTTTTTAGTTTGTGTTGCAGTTTCATTATCCTAGAAGTGAAAAATACGTTTTTTTTGTTTTAGTTGTTTGATAATCATGTTCGTTTATAACACCAAGGAAAAACGTTAATGTGAAGAATATAGCGTTTGTTTGTCTAATGCAGTATGCTTCTTTAGTGAAAATAATATACTGGTATGTACCTAATATTATTCACATGATCGATTTTTTATATTCGTACTCCCAAATTATTCACATGAATTTCGCGATTGTGGATATCAAGGAACATGTGAATACACTGAGTTACAAAAAAAGGTAAACAGCTACGTATTATGTTTATCCGATTTTAATAATTTTTGGCATATATGATCAGCGTCCCTTATCAGCAAAATTATCAAATTTGTACCTTCATTCGCCAACTGACTGCAGAAGCTGGTTCAATAATGTGTTGAGGATCCACGATTTCTTATACACTCCTTGACACACCTGGGCATCGTGCTGATAAGGTGGTCGATATCCTGTTAGGGTATGCCATTCCAGGCTACTGCATCTTCATGTGTAAGAGCTGCTTAAGTCTGTGGAGGGTGTTGCCTGCGACCTATCATGTTGATGCGAAGTTGATGCATGAAGGGTTGCAAATGTGAATGGCAACAGTGACTACATCTGTAGCAGCTGAACTTATTCAAGATACCAGTTTTTCTACCTAGATCACCGATATGTCATCAAGTCATTCTTACCGACCATTGAAGTGAACTTGTTTAAGTTGCACTTAGTTATAATACTATCTGACAGACAAGGGTTGTCAAGTTGAAACAATGCATCATAAAATTATTGTTTCAAGTCAAAAAGATGCATCCGTCTTTGATCTCGATATTTCAAGCACCACCTTGACAGATCAAGTACTCTTGTGGATTTAATCTCGCAGAGATCTAGATGGCGAATTACATTAATTATGATTTCCATCACCTGAATATGCAATATTCTGTTATAAAGTAAATAATGTTTATGCTGATTTTAGAACCTATTGTCAAGAAAGGATGCTTCTGTCTATATCCAAGGTGTACCAAAGAATTTCTGAACTAGCTCTATAACTCACCTAAAGATGGTAGTTCACGGCTATGACTGGTTCATGAATCAGCTGATAACCTCGCAAAATAGTGTGTGACGTATTCTCATTTCTTTTGTTTTACTAGGATATTACTTAGTGTCTGCGTGCTCTCTTGATTGCATCACGAGCTAAAAATTCGAGCAAAGAGCGAACGTGTTGCATAAACGTTGGAAAATCGTCTATAGAAAACGTAAATTCGCTTCAGCAAGCGGTGATGAAGCCATGAGTCGTTCTCAAATCTTTGAATGACATGACCGATTTTAATATAGGAAAAAGGTAAAAACTTTTCGTTCATGATGAAATCACGGACAGAGGAAATCAGGCGAGTACAATAGCACTAAATGAAATTCTTGTAGAACAACAGCAATGCGGAAACTTCGCACACTACTTTATGAGGTTGTCAACTGATCTATATAGCAAGCACAGCCTTGAGCTGCTTATGTTGTAAGCCATAGAGCTAGTCAGGGAAATTTGTCGTTTCAATAGTAACTCCCGATGATTTGATAATTGAGAAGCTCGAAAAGACAAACATTATAAGCAAAGTGACGTCATTTTATGCCCGATATGACGGCTGTCGCAAAATGACGATTTATAACTGCCATAGCTGTCCCCATAATATGGTATCAAATGGAAGGGCTTGGTGTCAGAAATGCATTAAGCAAAGTGACGTCATTCTGATTCCAACATGTTTCCCCTTCAATAAAAGCAACGCGGTAATACCTAATCGCTTTATCAACTTTTGAAATAGGTCGTACGGAACTGGTACAAATTCTGAGTAAACCATCTAACTCTGCCCATATTTCATTTCAGAGGTTTGTCAATTGCTGTATAACATCTGCAAATATTCTAATAAAGTAAAGACAATATGGAGGATACCAAAATTAGACATAACCACCCGACATTTGGGTAAAACATATGGTTCTCTATTGAGAATAAAAAATTCTGTTTCAGTCCAACATTACAGACAGAAAGTGACAATCGACAATATCATTGTGGTTAAATAAAGGATTTATGGAAGGTTTATTGCGACAGGTTCAAATTTCAGTCTTAAAGATCGAGACATATTTTTGATCATCATTAGTATGCAAATCAAATATGGAGCCCGTAGAAATTGCTTCAGTACCTTGTACGATAGTCGGAGCGACATCTGCTACGCAAGTCATTCAACAGACATATATCTTACAATGGCCGACAGATCAGTAAACAGATGAATGTAATGCAAAGTTTTGAAATATTCTGCACGTGCAATAAAGTGGAATCATGTAACAGAATGGTTGTGGAATCATGTAACAGAATGGTTATGGAATCATGTAACAGAATGATTGTATAGTTGACATTGTAATTGCACTGATGTATAAGTTCTTATCTGATGCAGGTGTTTGCACATTTGTTGTATAATTGTTACTCTGAAGTGTCCTATTAGATGTGCCATACCGCTTGGGTAGCTAACCTAAGAACGCCTTTTCAATGCTCTCGCAACCCGCAATGCTGACAGAATATACTTCTTAAACGTGTTTGTAACCCTAGGGAGGATAATTGTTATTTGGGTATGGTATAGGTATCAAGTGATAATGATTGCGGAGAACGCAATAAGTAAATTCAATATGTCAGGCGTCTCATATGATGCAATATTCTCATGATGGAGATGGTCTGACGATGGATCCGGGAGTTCATCATGGGAACTTTGTAGCTAATCTATGCAACTCCTTGACAAGTACCCTCATACTAGGGTCTGATGACTAAGTTAGTTAAAAATATTATGTACAAATGTCACTTATAGTAATTACATCAAATTTCAACTTTTCAACATTAGATAGTTTGTTATAATATGCTTTTTGATCAACTGAACAAGGCCAGTTTATAGATATGCTTAGCCAAAGTTGATAACTGGTCAAAACCACCGTTGGGCACTATCGAGTTCAACTAATTTTTATTATTATAATAGTGGTATGACTACCTGCGACAAATGAAGAAATAAAATTATGAAAATAAAATAAAAAATACAAATCTATCACTAGGTCGTTAAGCGTAACGGCGGGCTTATACAACATTTTAATAGTCATAGTTGTAACCTTAAATACAAGGTGGGAAATTTAAAGTGGAAGCATCAAGCAACACTATATCTTTGAACATTAGTTGACAGATCGACTAATGTCATACCGCGTTGGAAGCATCATTTCAGTATAATTTTAACCAAGGAACAGTACTCACCAAAACAACGCGCTGAAATTATTCGGTTGTCGATTCAAAATAACTTCTCAATCGTGAAAACTAAACTTGCGTTTAGTAAAAAAATAAAGTTAAAAGTGCTCCAGTTGATAACACTATCACACGTTTATACGCAAAATTTGTGAACACCGGTAGTCTCAGTAATGCCAGTCACCTATCCAGACAACGAGCAAGACGTTCCGATGAAAATATCGAAGCAGTACGAGCCAGTTTTGAAGAGACTCCATCAACATCCGGTCGTCATCGTTCTCAAGTGTTAGGCATCGCTCGAAACACTCACCGACGCATAATTCCTAAAGATTTGAAGATGTTTCCATACAAAATTCAAATGGCTCATCAATTAAACCCAGCTGATTATCCATCTCGCTTTGATTTTGCTAAATGGAGCATTGAAAAGGCCAAGAATGAACATGACTTTCGGCGAAAAATCATCATGTCCGACGAGGCACATTTTTCGTTACATGGAGGCGTAAGTAAACAACATTGTCGGTTTTATGCTACGGAAAACCTCCAATTAATCGAACAGCAGCCTCTTTATGACTAAAAAGTTACTGTTTGGTGCGGTATGTGCACGAATATGGTCATCGGTCCGTATTTTCCTGAAGACGAAGATGGAGCTGCGGAAACCGTCAATGGTGAGGGTTATTGAGCCATGATAACGAATTTTTTTGATGCCTCACAGCTCAAGCAACAATCAAGTTACTGCGACAATTATTCTCTGGACGACTGATATCGAAAAATGGCGATTTTGACTGGCCACCTGATTTGACGCCACCAGACTTTGTGGGGCTATATGAAATCCAAGGTATACACTAACAAGTCAAGGACTCTAGCTGCCCTCAAGAACAATATTCGTCAAGAAATTGCCGCATTATCCGCCGAAACATTGGCCAACGTGGTGGAAAACGCCAAAAAAGGGCACATTTGGTTATCAAGGCCAGAGGTGTCCATTTTCGGGGTGGCATTTTTGAAAAGTAATTACAACAAATTTCCTTGGATCAAAAAAGACTTGTCAAACGAACAGCAAAACATATTTTTTTAATGTATTTTTGTTTTGTAAATGGCCCACCCTGTAGTTGACTCTGTTTTAGATAAGATTTCTAAATAAAGGTACATTAACACTGCTACCTATTCTCCTCTACAAGATGACATAGTAAGAATTTCATCCTTACATTTCGTCCCGTGTCCTCAATCATCAAGCTCACTTTCACTTATACACGCCGCATTGTATTTTTACGGTTGAATAGAATTTTTAATTCTGTTGATCTTTGAGGATCCTGGATGAAAATTATAATGCAAAAGTTAATGAAGAATGCTTTATCAATGTGGTTAATAATGATAATTACAAATCTGTTGTATTACATTGCAAATCAGTGGAGTTTGATGGTAGTTTTACAACTTTCTGCGCAGCCTTGACCGCTTCAGCAATCGTCTTCTCGCAGCGCTTCTTCTCCTTTGTGAAAACGATAGCTGCCGCTGCAAAAAAAGGCCGTGAGGCTATTATTTCGTTAAAGGTCTCTCGTAGTCTAAAACTGACAAAAAAAAGACTAGACGTGACAATCTAGAGACAACTTCCTTGAAACTGATGTTTAGTTGCACCGCCTTGCTAAGGTCAACTTCAACCTGACGTTAACCTCAATTTCACTATTTTTGTTGACGGTTGAGCTAAGTGGAAGGTTTCCTCTGCTTGAAGCAGATATTCTAACCTAAGATCTACGTTGGATTTGACAACTAGGTGGTTGGGAATCTCAAATTGATCCGAAAGTCTAAATACATATATATGAAATGGATGGATACAGAGATATCGCAGAAGTTGAAGATTTTGACGACAGCACATTTTTGTTTCTCCCAAAAACATCTCTCTTCATATTGAAGCTAAATGGCGACAGCCTGGAATTCCATTATAGTTGATAAGGATATGATAGGCCGCAATTACAAAAGCGCATCCCTGAGCCAAATGTGAGTATAAATATTCATATAAATATATGCCCTAAGAAGCGCCAAATTTCCAAAAATCTTGTTTTTTATTAATATCTCAAAGAACTTTGTGCCGGCTATGTTGAGTTTTGGCAGTATTACTTATTGCAATAAGGCACTAATCAGAAGATAATTATGAACACCTCGAGGGCGGTCTCACGGGTGATACAAAAAATGTACCCTACAGACTTTGAAAAACCCGGATCAAGCAGCTAAACATACAACTTTTCTGTCTGTTGATATCCCTTCGAATGTTACTCCACTTTCCACGAAGAAACTATTTCATAAGATGTCAAAAAGTAATTGTTACTAGGGAATGTTTTCAACCTTTCGCGATGGTTTGCTATTAGTTTTTCTCCTCTTTCAGATATCGTTTATTTAAAAAACTCCAACACTCTGTTCTTAGGAACCATACTTCTTCAAGATCGCTTTTTGAAGTACAATGCTAAATTGCGGCAGATTTGCATAGAAGTATAGTCAAGTCAAGCAACTTTTTGCGCAGTAGTTGCAAAAGTAGTCCCCTAAGGATGTAGATACACTCTTGTCAGTGGTGAAACAGAAAATTAGTCTGAAGTTGACCTTGGCATCTGCTTACCAGTAAATTTGAGAGAAGCGGTGCAACTAGGATTAGACCGTTTGATGGAAAGTAAACTCTGCACTGCTTGGGTGTTTTATGTATGTATATGCACATCATTTTTGATATTTTGTTTATATGAGAAAGAATGTGACTTACGTCGTCCTTCTTGGCATGCGTATAGTACCAGCCAGGGGTCACTGCTGCAGTTAAGTGGACTATGGGCAATCAGGTTATATGTGAGCTCTAAAAAAAACAAAGGGTCAAAAATATGCGTTTCTCAATGGGTGTAGGTATTTGATTTAGCGTTTTAATGGTTCCACAAATAACGAGACGCAAATCGGCTATTCATACATAGGCGATCTCATCAAAATTTCAGTTCACAATCGTAGTTTTGTCAAAGTTAGAAGCTAACAAGAAGAATGAAAACAAAATTGTTTTGAGAAACGCATATTTATGATGATTTTGTTTAAAACTGTTAGACTTTTGACTATCTGCTTTGACACACCTTGGCCTCTTACCGTATTTCTGGAATCATCTTGTGGGACTTACCCCTGTTGTTTACTACAAGGTAGTATTTAGCTTTGTTTCCTATCATGTAGCAACGGAAATGGACAGTCTTCTTAACGTTGCTGTAAGCAAACAAAAAATCATGGTTACTTGCTGGTCATTAATATAACTAAACATAAAATAAGTACACAGCTATTAATAACAGGCTTTGGTTCAGGCAATTTGATAACAGTAGATGCAACTAAGAAACACTCTGTATATAGTTACCATTCATCGTAGTATGTAAATGGGGCATTCAGCGAATTGTGGAGTAAAGACACATCAAGAATGTTGAAGCCAATAGAGTAGCACTTTGAGGACATTATTGTAGCTTCTCCATATTGGTGTTGAGCGTACCAAGTATTCCCAGCACTCTGTAACATGAAAATACACTATTTTACAAACAAAGTCTGGTTATTTATGTATTTCCTTACGACCCCGAAAAATAATATAAAAAAACGAGTATGTCAATGTTGCCGAAGTCCTAAATATCCTTCAAACATCCATTAATAAAAATCAAAGCCATTTGGTGTTCAATTGCTTGTAATCGAGTTATCAAGTGATAAAGTAGGATTCGCTTAGCTTAAAGTGTAACATAAGCTCATTCGCCGTTTAAGTAACATCATTGACGTGAAATGTCATTTATAAGCAATTGAAAAACTAATGATTACAATAAGAATACCCCGTAGAGTGTTTGGTGATTTTATTAATTCGGCTTTGAAGGCTATTTGAAAACTTCGGCAGAATTAAAATATATGTTCTTTCACGTTGTTTTTCGGCGTCGAAGTGGCATAATTTGCCATTTTCCATGCATTAAACCACTCGGATCTAGGAAACCAGAGCTACTACGGAGAAATGAGAACATTTTTGAAATTGACGCATCAGAAACATTCTGAATTGATTGTTGCGTCTTCAACACCATGCATTCTACTTCTCACGCCGCTAGAGGAAGTATTGCAATCGCGAGAGAAATCGAAAATGAGATTTTGTGTTATTTGAATGTTATACGACATGTACATCACGAAAAACCATGTCACTCATTTCCTTCAGTCTGTCTGCCTGTCTCTCCGCTAATTTTAGCCTGAGAAGTACCATGCGGATATTTTTGATACTGTGCCAAAGACAAAAAAGCCTTGTAGCTTTTGAATGCGAGAAAAAAACTCAATAACCAAAAAAATTCTTTATGACGTTCCAGAGGGTTCTGATCGTAGTCAGAAAATGTTTAGTTATAGGGAAATTTTTTTGATCTTTTTCTATTTATACTCTGGCAAAACGGTAATTCTACGCACAATATGTGTATTTCACACATCATAGGCTTCTCCGTATATTTGTTCTCAAAACTTTGAATGATGGACATGGGCGTACCCAGGGGGGACGCACCTTTAGAGAGATCATTTTCTACAAAAATTAAATTATACAGTTATAAGCTTCTCAACAAGCTAAATCAATATGACATGATGAGAATTACTAAGTTTAGTTGAGGTCTATGTTAGTTATACACTTAATTTTGCTAAAAGCAAATTCCACACGATTAGTAGGTATCTACTATATTCCATCTCATCAGTAGATTTCTGCGTAACATGAATCGAAAACTAGTGACGTCCAGGCTACACGGTCAATAAATATCGCATTTTATGATACATTTACGTCATGGAGCACTGTATAAGAGCAAGCTGCGTACGTAAATAACAAAATGGAACTTGGACAGTTTGGAAATCCAAAGTATTTCCGAATGTACTCCGAAACAAAACTGTTCATACATTCACACTGACTACACGTTTCAAACAAATTACACAATAACATACTTTTGCCTTTCTACTCGGTGGCATACTTAGAATTTTGACCTGACGTTTCAGCTCTCAATTTTCTAACATCTCTTTCAATGTCTTCACGATCACCTTTAAATAATATAAATGAGTTACATTTTGTTATTCCTCATTCGATGACTTTAAGCCGACTATTTGAAGTTAAACACTTGAAATTTTATATCAATGTGTAACATGTTATAATTTTTGATAATCTATGAAATAAATGACTATATGATAGTTACAAGGCTCACTGAAAAATAATAATATATGACATGCTGTAATATTTGAAACCGGAATTGAAGGCTATTCGCCTACGCAAAAATGGCATGAATAAGAAAAATAAAAGATGATACGGGGGATATTGACGTTCCATTTATTCCTCCTTGCAGTTTATTTTGAAATCTTATCTCAACTAAATTTAGGAAACAATAATAACGATTTTGAGGAAATTCATCTCGTTTTCCGTGTATCTCTGGAGATATTTGGAACGTCAAAGCTTTTCAAATTAATTTTATAAAATGTATGGATATGCAACTTTGCCACCATTCCACTGACCCATATCCCTTACCGTTTCAGAGATCACAATGGTGAAAATATGACAAATTTGTTTTTCAAATCGTTCTAGAAGAAACTAGGTACATATCCTAAAAGCTCTATAAAAGTTTTTTCGGCTATATGACGAAACTTAAACGACGAATAAATTTTGCAGAAAGTGTGGACGTGTTCCTCGCTAGAGCCCCCCCCCCTTTACCCTGTGCCACGCTGTATCCCGTGGGTGTCTAGGCCTTAGGGCTCCCTGGTAGTTAGATAAATTATTTCAGGAATTAGAATAATATGCTATATCCCCGGCTATATCAAAACTTCACCCTTTGAAGTGGCGTATTAGGATATACTAATAGATGTACGATATTCCATCAAAAAAATCGTTTTGTTGTCAATTCGGTGTGAATCGCCCTATGCCAAGTAGGAAGCGTATAGACTTCAATTTTTGTAAATAATATTTTTGATCATGTTTTATAATGGAGATATTGTTCAATTAGATACTAAACACTCACCCTGTATGTCTAATTTGTTGCAGCAGTTACGTCGCTGGATAGCTTGAACATTTTTGAAGATTTTTTTCGATGTTAATCACTCAACTTTTGGCTATACACATATCTCCACAAAAATCTTCAATTAAAACAACCGCACTCAAATAGGTTCATCCAGTAGCCATAATGCCACAGACAGACAGTAAAAGAAAAGCATATGCGAAGTTTATACAGGGTGTTTCAGTTTATTGTTGCATAACTTTAAGATTCGATAGAACTTTTAAAATTAATGCATGAAGTCTATATAAACATGGGTCAAAAAACTGCGTGGCTTCCGAACTACAGGGTGTTTAAATTTACTTTCTAAAATAGTTTTTTTTAAATATTTCGAACAATATTTGATGTCTAACAGTGAAAATTGGTATACTGATATATCTTTGGTACGGCAAAACGAACCATGGACATAGTTTTACTGTAGCCGCTAGAGGGCGCTCTCTACTGTATCTGTAGTGTATTAAAATGACCGAATAATTTTTCTTAGTGCAATTTTTTGCTTTTTGAATGCAAAAACTGATTCTTGGCACTTTTCAACATAAAAAAGTTCTATTGTGAGTTTTCGTTATAGTTACCGGTTTTTGAGATATTTCGATTTTTAAGGTTCGATGCATTTTTAATTATTTATTGGAAAATAATATTTTTTTTACATTTTCGATTTGGGCACTACAAGTAATTAAGATGATCGTTTAGATTGTGTTTTCAAACACAGCAATAGTTTCTAACTCCAAATAAACACAAAAAACATAATATTAATTTATTTAACTTTCCAATATTATTTTTAACAAATTAAGTTAATTATTTACAACTAAAATGCTATTGGATAGTTAGGACAAACATACAAAATCTAAAGTAGTTGCTCGAAATGTAAACCCAATTGTTCAATGCACAATTCACATCTACGAATGATCGAACTTGGTATAGCATTATTCAAATAAGGCCTTATTTCATCACATGCAGTCCTGATTCTGTCTATTAGCATATCTCTTGTGGTTACGGGAGTCTGGTACACTTTTTCTTTTAGAAATCCCCACACAAAGAAATCTAATGGATTTAGGTCAGGGGATCGTGGAGGCCAGGCGACTGGTCCTCCACGGCGGATCCATCTTTCTGGATAATTTTCGTCCAGCCAGTTTCTAACTATTCTCGAACAATGAGCTGGACAACCATCAAGCTGGAACAAGGCCAATCTTCTTAAATCTAACATAACATCATCCCAGATATTTGCGTTTAAAAATTCCAAGAAGGCGAAAGGTAGGGTCCAAATAGTCTATTACGGTAGATACCAATCCACACGTTCACACTAAATTCATGCTGAAAATTTCTTTCCCGAACTGCATGCGGATTTTCATGCGACCAAATAGGTTGATTATGAAAATTTACCACTCCACGTCTAGTGAAGCATGACTCATCGGTCCACAAAACGTTACTTAAAAACTCCCTATTATTATCAAGAATCCACTGACAAAATGTGATTCTTCGTTCTCTGTCCCCTGGCTGTAGTCCTTGCACAGGTTGCAAATGGTAAGGACGTCTATGGTTATTTCTAAGAACACGGTGAATATGGCTTGCTGCAATTCCCAAGGCACCAGAAACTCTCCTAACACTTGTGGTCGGATCTCTATCAAACTCACGCAGAATCATACGGGTAAATCTGCGCTGACGAACATTTATGTTTTGATCCCTTTGGATATTTCCAAAACCATTTTCAATTATTTGGCGATGCACTCTTACAAATACTGAGCGAGTTGGATGTCGTCTGTTTGGAAATCTTCGTGCGTATTCTCTGGCTGCTTATGCTGCGTTTCCATTTACAAAGCAGTGGAGAATAAAAATGGCATTTTTATAAAACATACAAAAAAAACAGGTAAAAGAAACTATATTTTGTGCATTCACAATTGCAAAAAAACGTTTCAGGTTTCAACAGACAACAAAACTAACTGTCAACTAATTGACGTTTAACCTTATTCTGCTTTCAATTTCAAAAATATTTGCAGGCATCGCCTACTTCTAAAAATTATCGAGATACTGACTTTTTAAGATTATTTTATCATAAATAATTAAAAATGCATCGAACCTTAAAAATCGAAATGTCTCAAAAACGGCTAACTATAACGGAAACTCACAGGAGAGCTTTTTATGTTGAAAAGTGCGAAGAATTAGTTTTTTTATTCAAAAAGCAAAAAATTGCACTAAGAAAAAAATTTCGGTCATTTTAATACACTACAGGTACAGTAGAGAGCGCCCTCCAGCGGCTACAGTAAAACTATGCCCAGGTTCGTCTTTTCGTACCAAAAAACCCTTGTATACCAATTTTCACTGTTATACATCAAATATTGTTCGAAATATTTAAAAAAAAAACTATTTGAGAAAGTAAATTTAAACACCCTGTATTTCGGAAGCCACGCATTTTTCGACCCATGTTTATATAGACTTTGTGCATTAATTTTATAAGTTCTATCGAATCCTAAAGTTATGCAACAATAAACTGAAACACCCTGTATACTAATGTGCAAGGTTTATTTCCTTTTTGCTTTGGGGGTTAAAAATGTCGCACTTACATGTAAAACTGCTTCAAGAAACGAGAATGGTGGTTCAACCAGCTGGCACTGCTCAGCGCGTACGCTAACTGCAAATAGGGTGGTCAAAAGAACGTATGCTGACAGCATTATGATGAATTGTGGATCATGCAGAACACTGTCATCATTTTATACTTGATAATTGATGGATATCTTAGAACTCAAATAAAGACGATTGTATTTGCCACTCGAGAAGTTTCTTAATTCAGATTGCAATCTGCCCTCAAGGATGGCAGAAATTTAGATTCAGGTTAGTTCAAATATTTACAATGTACAGTGCATTGACAGTGTTTAATGTCAGATAGCTTAAATTATTCTGTTTGGCACGTACTCGATGGAAAGTTGTGTTACGTATTTTTATTGCAATTGCACTGTTCACATCACTGTGCAATAAAATAAAGCGAGTATAAAAATATAAGGACACAGCTAAAATAAATCCATCTGCAAATTGACTCATGGGGTCTGTGTGTGCAGATATCCAATTAGGAAATTAAATTACAATGATATTATGATCATTATGAATGAGTAAATTATATTTCAGAGAGGGAGAGAAGGTTATACATATACATATGCAAATATCAATATTGAATAGAATTAGTTACCACTAAACTTTCCCGAATCCAATCATTAATATGAGGTTTATTTGCACAATCGTGGTCAAGGTTTTCTGGTAAGGTTATATTATATATTTCGGGACTAATTAGCTTATAATTTTTATTAAATTAATTATTAATATTATAATAATATTAATTTTGGTAACATTTCTTGTACCCATCTCATGAACTAAATGATCTCTATAATACTTTGATGAGGGCAAGGACCGCAGAATTTCTATATTAGTTCTCTGTGTTTGCTGTATATGATATATGAGCCTTGCAGCCTAAATTTTCATCTATAAATATGCCCAAGCAATTTAGGCTTTGCTTTCCTTCAATACATTCATACACTGACAGTTTCCAAAAGTATCAGTGCACAGGGTCTTGGATTTTCAAAACTTTACGATTATGTAGCATTTTTTGAGCGTGGGAAAAAGTTTTGAATTTAGGTTTTACAGTATTAAGTGATTACACTGTGGTTTATCCACTCCTAATTATTTTAGTTCTGGCATTTTCAGCTCTTTGAAAAGCTACATTTCAGGTGCCACTATAATTGTATAATGATAATAATATTGTAAGAAATCAGTAAAGTGATGTTTGGCGCTCAGTGTGTATGTGTATTGCGAAACAGGGGAAGCTTAAGTATGCATTACTTATAGTGTAAGCAGGAAATGGAATGAACTTGGGGCAAAAAACTCTTGCATATACATATTAAATAGAAAAGGAGCACTAGCACTAGACCCTGTGGTACGCCACGATTAGATTAACTGGAAGGTATAACTCATGGTATCTTTAATTTTAAGCTGCAATCTTCCACATTCAGTATATCCGGAAGAATTTGGTCAAACCACTTTTCAGTTCACACAGATAAATCATAATATCTATTTAACTATTTCGTTTACGTGGGAGCGATCTGGAAAGAGCTAGAGAAAGCAATAATCTGAAAATATGGCGTCAAGAATGCCCATCCTTCATTTTCCATCGACTAATTGGTAAACCTATTAGAAACAGGTTCCTCTGGAAGGAGTATGTCCAACTGCATAGAAAATGTACATAGCACTCACTATTATAGAAACAGCGTAACTGGTGAGCTGTGCATGAACTATTATTCTGTACATACAAATAAGAACATGTAGCCTTGCGGAAAGATGAAAGACAAAGGGCAGTTGTGAGCATGTCCAAAATAAAGGAAAAGGAGCAGAAATAGAAAGACTGGTAACCCGAGCGATGTGCGTTTCTGTTTAATGGCTTCATCAGGCACAAATGGATGTGCATCCAAAACACCAAAATGAAAACATTTGCCCATCACATCTGGATATGGGTGTTATGTCTAATCTGTACAATTCAGGTATACGAGTACCATACAAAACCTAGACAATGTATAGAATACCTGGGTTGCCCAGCGCAATGTATGTAATATTATGAATATTATTATCTATTACCTACTTTTCCAAAAATGAATTTTATTTATTTATTTATTTATTTATTTATTTCCAACAGGTGAAACCCAATTACAGGAAACGCTGAAAAAAATAACAATTAAAGAGACATGGTTCTTGGACTTAAATCTATAGTATCACACATTCAAAATAAGATTGGATGATCTATAGCAGTTAATAATCGATGCACAACTGTCACTGTAAATAACACACGATTCAGTAACACTGCTCATGACGCAGCACATGAGATTAATTGGCGATTTCGTCATAACATTTGTACGGCCAGCTTGACAATAGAATGCCGTTTGTTGTCCGACTCCCTAGCCTTGTGAACGCGGATACATATTTTTTCAAGTAAATTTTGACAGTCAATTTTATTGTGAATGAGGCCATACAAAAACGACGAAGCAAATACGTTTCGTCTTGTTGACAGTGAATCCAAATTGAAAAACTCTAATAGGGCACTATGGTCACAACCTCTTTCTGGATAAGAACCTGTGCATTTAAGGTGAAAATACTTCAAAGCTTTACGTTGAATGGCCTCAAGGATCACGACAGAATTTTTGTATATAGGAGACCAGATCAGAGTCGCATACTCCAACTTGCTCCTGACAAAAGTAAAAAATAAAGTCATTAATGTATCAACATTGGAGAAACCCTTCCAGTTTCTGATACAGAAACCAAGTAGTCGAGTGGCAGCTGACGAGATATTGAGTATATGCTCAGTAAACGTTAGCTTGGTATCAAAAATGACTCCAAGGTCTCTATAAGAGGTGCATCTGTCTATAGCCTGACCATTGATGTTATAATTATCATAAATTAAATAGTTAACTTTTCTTGTATAAGTCATAACTTTACATTTCGAAACATTCAGACTGAGACAGTTTCGTGAACACCATGACGAAATTAGAGCTAAGTCATCTTGCAACATGACGCAATCCTCGACTGTCTTGATTGACGTGCAGATTTCAAGGTCATCAGCGAAAAACAAATGGAAACAATTCAGTTCAAAAGACAAGTCATTAATAAATATTAAAAATAATAATGGACCTAGATTTGACCCTTGAGGTACCCCAGACGTGGCCCGATAGTAACTCGACCTATGACCACCATAATCGACAAATAACCTTCTATCCCTCAAATATGAATTCATGAGCGACAGCATTGCATCAGACATACCCACTGTTTTAAGCTTATCCAGAAGTGCAAATGATCAACTTGATCAAACGCCTTCTGAATATCTGTGTAGATGACATCAACTTGTCCCTGACCGTCCAGTACTTCAGAAATGTACTGAGTAATTAGAGCCAAGTTGGTGACCGTAGATCTGCCTCTCATAAACCCATGCTGATTAATAGAGACTGCACCCCTAACCGAGCAGTAAACCGTTTCATAAGCGATGATCTCAAACAACTTGCTGAAATTGCACAGGATTGCTATTTGGCGATAGTTGTAAATGTCATAGATATCTCCACTTTTGTGAATAGGACATATTTTAGAGGTCTTCCAGATATTTGGATATGTCTCTGATTTTAGAATTAGGTTGAATATGGAAGCCAGCGGTTTCGCTAGTATATGAATGCAATCTTTAACGAAAAAACTTGGAATACCATCACATCCAGACGTCATTTTGTTCTTTAATCTTTTCGAAGCCCTAATTACGTTTTCTTCACCTATATATTTTAAAAAAATTATATCGGTAGAATTATTTGTTGGAGGAGATGACCCTAGTAGACCAGAAGGGATAAAAACTGTTGAAAAGAAGGTAGCAAAACTGTCCACTATATCCTGAGGCGTATCGCAGACATTGCCGTTAAGCGTCATCCTTGGGGGGATTCTATATGTTTTTTGATCTGGGTAAATGACCAGAATTTGCTAGGATCATTGACAATGGCATCCTCAACCGATTGGACGTAATCGGAGTAGGCAACACTGATCTGGTTCTTAATGAGCTTCCTAAAATTACTGAACTGATCATAAGAAAACTTAGTACCGCCACGTTTCCAGTTCCTTCTTGCTATGTCCTTCTTCTTGATATTAAGTATAACTTCACGTGTGAACCATGGGGGATACGAAAAGGTATCAACCGCAACGTTTTCCTTCAGCTTGCACCCATATCCAGACGTAATGGGCATACGCTTTCGCTTTGGTGTTTTCGATGCTCATCCATGAGGGCTGGATGAAGCCAATAACCAGAAATATTCGTCGCTCGGATTACCAGTCTTTCACTTTCTACTACTGTTCCTTTAATTTGAACATGCTCACGATTGCCCTTTGTCTTTCGTTTTTCCGCAAAATTACTTGTCTTTCTATGTATTTACTCATGAGCTTGAAGTAACCCGACAGAGAGCTACATCAGGCCCACGTGGCGACGTTGTTTGATACCTGGAAAACAAGTCTTCTGACCAAAGCAAAAAAATTTTCCTGCTCGTTCTTGTTGGTGGCTTCTAGTTTTATTTCCCTTTCCATCCTTATTTTCCTTCACGCTGGACCCGAATACAGATGTGATGGGCACATATTACCACTTTGGTGTTTTCGGCGCACATCCATTTGGGCTTGATGAAGCCAACAAGCAGGAACATACGTCGCTCGGGTTACCAATCCTTTTATTTTTGCTCTTGTTCCTTTATTGCGTGCATGCTCGGGATTCTACTTTATTATTCAGTACCATAGAAAAATAATACCGTCATCATTTCATAACAGACTATCTTGGACACAAGTTAGCTCCTCTGAGAAAACGCACGCATTTATGGCACGTCAGTCAAACAGGTCCATAAATGTAGTCCATAGTCCCCACCCATTTGATAACGCTGCCATCAAGAATCTTCTCTCCTGCCCTATCCGCTGTACCGACCTTCTGGCAACAACATCGCTAATAAGCCAGCTAGCCATGAGCCAGCTGTGAGCAACCATACGTCAGACCCTCACACAGGGTTTGGTGCGACATATTCGCGACGCGTGTTTTTGAAATTGCTCTTGTATCAAGTTTTAGGGCCAAATGAGCGGGGATACGTACGGAATGTGCAATACTTCTGATAGGTATGTAGAATTACCGGAGATGAAATAATAATGCTCTCCCCCATACCAGCAATCGGCTACCCCCAACGTTTAGCTCCTTCGAAAGGTTTTCTAAAGATAATAGGGAGTCTCTAAAATGTCAGAAGACGAAGGTTTATTTCAGTTTTTTGCCTCTAGCTGCCCCGCATGGTAATGACCTTTTATAAAAACGGACCGACGGATATGAGTATATATACGTTAATATAATGCTTCATTTTTCTGCCAGCGCGCGGAAAGTACCCACTTTCAACCTGGATCTGCGAGCAGAAAGTAGCACTTGTCCACACGCATAACAGTGCTACTTTCGCACGCAGATGCGAGCTGAAAGTGAGTAGCAACTTTCCACATGCTGGTAAAAAAATCTTATATCTAACACTTTGCGAAAAGTTTGCAACTGCCGTGGCGTGTGGAAAAGTATCACTTTCCGGCAAATAACTATTACGAAATATTTCGCGATTGCCAGTGGCGCAGGAGGTAACAAAACGGTTCTGTGATGTGATGCACAGAAGCCAAATCTAAGCTCAGGTGTACCCCTTCACGCCAAAGCTTTCTCCTTTGGCCTCTTGGCTAGTTTTTCGGTAGCTATACTTGGTTTCCCTATTAACTTTTAAATTCAGAGTTTGACCACGTGTTATCATTCCCCGCTCGCAATAATATTTATTTTTTGTAGAAGTCAAATGGAAATAAATAGAGGGTATCCGTATCTGAATGGGCCTCACAGGGTGGTCACTCGTAACAATATTACCAAACAATCAAAATGTATTGTGAATTGCTCGAAAAATCAATAATTTGGATCGTCAAAGAGAAAGCGACAGAAAAAAAAGGTTGTTCAAACCGTGAATCATCAAGGTTCACCGTCGGCTCCAGTATGTAAATAGTATGTAAATGCGACTTCAATTTGGATGATGGGCAATCATCTGTGGCACAATCCTGTTAGGACCACCTGTCCTCTAAGCTCAAATTAGCTCGTCGAGGAAGAGGAACTAGCGGACCTGTGGTTCAACAATGTATAGCGGTACAGCTCACACAGCCCAAGCGTTAATGGATGTTTTAAGATGTTTCCAAAATGTCCGTCACGTTGAAAGGTGATGCGGAGTGTAGTGTTCGCTTACCACATTTGAGCATCTGTCACTTCTTTTTCTGGGGATATCTAGCGAAAAAGGTACTTCTAACATCCTATAAGGGCTAAGAGAGCGGATTGCTTATGAAATATAGGCTATTCCCCTGATGTGTAAGTAAGTTTTTCAGAGCTTCAGAAGTTGTCACCAACAGTGTATTTCATCATAAATGGATGCATCCGTGTAGGCTAAGCTCATTAGGCAGACTGCTCCATAATCTCGACACCGTAGGGACAAAGGAATTGCGGTTTCGGCCGCTTCTGGACGTACGAAGTCCGACTCGGTTAGTATGGGAGGCCGAGGTCAGGCGGATCTCTGTCAATTATGTCGGGGAGATCCCGAGACAGTCCGTTAAGGAAGAGTCATCGATCTGTCGAACAGCACTCTTCTGTAGTTGGGCCGACACCACGTCAAACAGGTCTTATCTGGGCGTCATATGGAGTGAGAAGGTCATGTCAAGTACTTCTTAGTCCTAAGCTAGTAGCCTAGCGTTTTCAGCAGCTGCCTCGAATGGTGAGGTGTGTCCATGCCAGACCAAGTCCTCGGGATCTGGAACCCAACTATCCGACACGAGAGGCTCTTTGGTAGAACTCGGCCATCTATTGAAGGCTGCTAGTCTTCTTCTCTTTGGCTAACCGGCAGGGGTCAGATTGGCACCCTGAATCCCTGCAAGTAGACCGGTGATCAGCAAGGAGCTCGTTGATATGTAATAGAAAGAAAGTACTAGCCAAAGCAATTCTTTAGGAACACCGCCATTGGCTGTGGGCTTAAGACGGGAACCCGCCAATTACGACGGATACCTTGCGGCCAGAGAGAAAGTCAGCCTTCCGTCTGCCAAGCTTCTCTATCAGGCTACTAATACCACCCATCTTCAAGAAGTTATCCTCAAAACATGATGAATGTAAAATGGTAAAAACTGTTGGCTCCACACACACCCACCTACCCTGTGCGGTCCCTACACCACCCCTGTTCCAGGCAACCTCAAACCCTTGAGGAGTGGGGGGCAGAGCAATCTGCTCCTCCCTCCTCTCCCGCCCGAAGGCCTGGCGTGGCGCTGCGTGGTTCAGGCCGCTGCGCATTCCCCAAATGTGTGCTGCCGAACGAGCTAACCCCCCTCCCCAATTTTGCCCCTTTTTCCCGAAATTTGACTCGATCGCGCACGCGTCGCGGAAGCACGTGGTGGACGTTTCTTCCAACTGTCGGTTCTCGACTTTTATGGACGGCCTCTTTTTTGGGGGTCCTGCGGCATTAAGGTTGGTGAGCCTTCGCTCTTTCCTCGTCGACTGGAGTCAGTCAGTCAGTCGTCAGTCAGTCGTTTGCTGTTTGTCTTAGTCTCTGGCCACCTCAATCGACATTTTTTGGTGCATTTTTATACCTAACACTTTAAAAGTACTTGGTTGGTTGTGTCCCATCCTGTATTTGACCTCCTTGCAAGACCTCTGACAATAAAACTTGTTATCCAATACTCTTCAGCAGTATCAGGTGATTGCATTTTTCGTTCCTTAGGAGAAGTCTGTCGTATATCTCATATTTAAGGCATAAATCATCCAACGTTGCATGCTGCAAGTAAGTTCAATGCGTTTTTTATACAAATAAAAGAGTATAGATGTTTTTTTCCACTCATTCACAAACATCCCGTAGGACTGTAAGGGTATGATGTACATAATAAGGACTTTATTTGTGATAGTATTGTTTATTATCTTTATTAACATTGTCTGTATCACTCAACATTTGTCTGCCAGGCACTACAAGTCTGTTGAATTACACTCCATATTTTTCGAGTATGTCGGTATCGCGACATATTTTCTAGCCTCCTCGGTTGTTTCAGCTATCAGTTTCTCATCTCGCTCCTTTTGCGTGGTAAATATCAGTACAGTCCCTAAAATATGAAATCATTAGTAGGCGAAGACTATTTTTGAAATCTAGCTATATAGTCATAGCTATAGGAGAGGTACTACGAAATGTTGAATCACTATTATCACGTCTGGAGCTAATCTCATGACTTGTTAGTCAAGCTACCTCAGTATTTGAGGAACAGACCTACAGACAGCCAGACTGAACGGGAACCAGCCAGATTGACGGAAACTGATTTAGTTTTTCGTAATGTACGTGTCATGTACCATCCAAAAAGCATATTTTATTTTTGAATTTTTTCGTGATCACAACACTTCCGCGTCGATTGGCGTGGGATGTAAAAGCTTCTTGATACATCACTTACCTTTTCCTCCTTGGCACACGTAGAATGCAATAGCCTTGTGGTTCAGGACGATCACGCTAAATGTGATTTCTGGAAAAATATGTTGGATAAAAAAATTGGGAAGCATTGTAGAATGAAATTTTTGTTTGGAGATTATGGTCGCTCTCTAGCTATCCTGCAAGCAACTTGAAAGTGATTTCAAGAAATTTCATGGCCTTTTCGTAGAAGAGTAGCAATCACCGTATGGTACGTTACCGCCTGTACGTATTTCAATCTTATCAGTTCTCTTATATGCATGTGGAATATAAACACTAATCCCACAAGTCAACGACATTATAAAATTCAACATAATTTTGGCAGCATAATAACTAGGTGGGACCTGGCATAGCAAAAAACAATTAGCAGGGTGGGACTGACTCCAACGCAATATTATTACAAAATGTTTACACCATGTTTCACTGGTCCGCAGGTAAGACTTGAAAAGTCTGATTTTAAACTGTTTGGCATCAGCAAAACGGATCATTGCTTCAGTACAGTTCTAATAATTTTGACACTAATGGCCGTTCAAGTGTTACGTAAGCAGATTTTTTACATGTACCAACCCACCTCCCCTCCCCGTTGTTAGTAAAAGTAAGCAAATCTCTTCCCTCACCCCACCCTTGCATTCAGCAAAAATCTGACTTGTCCCACCCAACGTACAGTAACATGGTAACCATCAATTTCTATTGGGCTTCTGCTAATGCATTTACGAAGGTTGGAACAATAATGTTTGAAACTTGCCTTTCTTGTTATGTACAAGGTAGTACTTTGCTTTGTTGCCCAAAACATAGCAACGTATCCTCTCATGCTGCTTCAAGCCGCTGAAAATAAATATTCTCTTGTATATACCTAGAAATTACTTATAGATCGCTCTAAAGATCAGTTGTGACTATTTGGACCCCACCCAGATCCAGGAAAAAATGGATGTAGACACAGTCATGCAGTGTAAGGTGAAAATCGATAGCTTGAGAATCGGACGGGGTGGTATTCAGAACAAGTACAGAAAAATCAGGACAAATAATTACACCTGTTTTACAGGTGATACAAGCTTATGTTTTTTATATACACAAATAAATAAAAAATTTCTCTATGATGTACAGATGGAAAAAATTCAATATTTTCGTAATTCACTTCTTGAAGCCACCAATTGACAAACTGGAAATACGAGAAGGATGAGAGTATAAATCTATCTCAATTGACCTGAACCTCTTTGTCTTTTGGACGAGTGAACTTAGCGAGCTAAGATTCAAGATGAATTGATATACAAATACCATACAGGGTGATTCACACGTCGTGACCAAAAATGAAACATCATTCACGGCTTCATTAAAAAGATTCGGGGTGTTTAAGTTTAAAAATAAAATTCCAGCACACAACACTCAAAAATGGAGAAAATAAACTTTTGACTGGACTTTCACAAAAAAATACCTATAACACAACTTTGGTAAACCCCCAGGAAACGTTGGTATCAAGGCCTCCTATTTTATTTTGAAACTAATTGTATCTCGGATCTTCTAGAATGATCTTATTTATTTTCTTTATTTTTACGAAAACAATGCACTCCTGGAAAAAACACAAGAGGAATTATTTGTAGCAAATTGCAGGCGACATTCGAAAAGTTGCATATTTAAAAAAAAAGTGACGTACTATTTTTATTTAGAAAAGTAATGTCACTAATACCCTGTATATCCGCTACTAATGCACGTTAATTTTAAGTAAGGACTTCTTAATGTGAACAATACTTAGGTTAATCCGCATACCAAGTTTTTGTGTATTCCTGTTGATGGTTTTGAAGATACTAAAAAAATTATTTTATTTTTAAGCTTCAACACCCCGTATGTTATTAATGAATCCGTCGAGGAAAGAATGTTACATTTTAGGTCACGAGTTGTGAATCACCCTGTATCTTAACGTAAAAATAACTGATGCAGCATCTTGTAAGATTTTGTTAAATGGTATGGGGACGCGGTCAAGTGGTAGCTCATTTGCAGCTCTTTATTAGAACTTTGTGATTCTAGTGTATAAACTTATTACCCATCTTCTATTGGGACATTTCATCCGAATGTGCAATAAAATATGGGACATTCCGTTTATGAATTTTTTTTAAAGGAATGGTGCTTATTTTATCACACATTCACAAGGATCCTTCCTAGGGAAGAGGATTGATATAACGTACACATGCTCTAAGGATTGGCTGTGGGCGCTATATGCGACTTGATGTACGAAAACGCTCAACTTTGGTCATCTGCCAGATCACCATCTTGACAGACAATAATTATATATTGCATTTGAAAAATGTTCCAAAATGGCTCCCAGCCCCATCTTGAAATGTTCAACAGCCACATTTGCGCTAAAATGCTACGATTGGTGCACCAACCTCGTTACCCCTTCCATCATTCTAACTGAATCCATTAAAAAAAATAATCGTATCTAAATAAAGTGAATACCTCAAGCTGTTTGAGAATATCCTCACAGTGCTCAGCATTTTCAACTGTCAGCTGTCTCTTTTTGCATTATGAAATGTTCACTTAGCTGACTATGAGAAGCGGTATCCGATTATGTTAGTCAATCTTGGATGTGGATATGGTCTAGTTGTTTATGAAACAACTTCTTCAGTTAAAGTTAAAGCTTACTTCAAGTCCGTCCTTACCTTTCATCCCTGTATGTAAATGGTGCATCTACAGCAGCATGAAGTAAAGTGAAATCTTGTAGATAGAAGCCTATTGAGTAGCACCTATCTGAAATGAGAGGTGTTTCTCCGTATTGATGCTGCGCATACCAAGTCCTTTGGGAAGCCTGAAAGATGATGTTACTTGGCTGAAGCTGAACATTTTGATATTTATTGGCAGAATACGAATATCCTGGTTATATTATGAGGGAATGGTTCTGATACAACTCCACCCGGCTATTTCGTCATACGCAAACAATAAGAACGTGATTTGAGATTCTGGATTCGCATACAGCGTTGGGATTAGAAAACATGTTGCTTCCCTGGACTACTGAATACATGGCAGTTCCGAGCTGTCCTCAAAAATGCTGATTCTTTTACAGCGGTTTGAAGACTTAATTTATGTTGTCTTAAAAAATAAAGAATTTCAAATGAATGTACTGTACATAGTGAAGGACTTAATAGAGAAGAAATCTTACTGATACGGTAAGCATACAGCTTATGTGTCTGTACGATCGTCAGATTTATTCGGATTACTGAACGACCATAACGGGGCACGCAGACAACGCCCAAAAAATGTGCAAACGACAATTTGTTATTTCTATAAGTGGTATAGTTTTAAATAATATAAGAATGACTACGTGTGAAATACCTGCGGGCGAGTTTTTCTTATTTTCAAAACCGAATTAGTGATATAGCTATATCTATATAGGATTTAGAATTGATAAATTCACCGAGAAGGCCAAATGCCAGTTAATCTTCAAATCTACATATCCAGCTTTACTTGGTGGCCAGTAAAACAAGATTCATGCCGTATACACTGAAGATTGTTGGCCAGGAGCTTGGAACCGTAGAGATCAAAGGCTTTTCCTATTGCACAGTTTCATTATCTTAATGGAAACATTCTCCTGAAAATACTGGCCCGCTAGGAATTTCTTCTAACACTCCCAAATTAAAAATCAGAATCAGCCTGTCCAAGGTTGCATGCCCCAAAGATGGAGAAAAACCATCATAGGCATTGTCAAAACAGTGTTATGGCTCGATAAATAAGCTTCATAGGTCGTCTATACGATATTTTCATAACTACGTTCGTTTACCAATTTTTGCTATATCATTAGAGCTCTCATTAGGCCATGCGTAAGTGCTCATATGCGAGCTTTCAGAGCCATCTGATTGATAAAATAGTGTTTTTGAGCCATTTACCAAGTTACATATTTAATGAAAATATCTTAAACTGTGGAAAAGATAGATTTTGTCGTTTATATACTAAAATTACTCCAAAGAATTTGTCGGGTGGACAAATATATTTCAAAGTGAGCAAAAAACTGTTTCGAGGTCAAATGCTATTTTAGGCCACAAACATTTTTAATATCATCATGGCGAGACTTATGGATTTCCATTTTGCATTTATTGTAGAATAATCGAACTAAACAGCAAAAATATCTACTTCCTATAAAAAAATATAGCACAAGAAGTTCGACTTTTTTAGTTATCATCTTCGACCAAATGTTTGACATTATTTAACCATATCTTGAACAGAAGTAAATATAAAACCTTAATAATCACAGCAACTGGAGTTGAAGGTTTTACACAGCTTTTTCTTTACGCGTACTCTTATGTGAATAACTTGTACATTTCATGGACAAGTACAAATAATAACAATATTATTGTAAAAGCCGTATAGTTTGTTTCATTTTTTTAGGGTAATAACTTGAAAATATACTTATTAATAGGTTATGAAGATATTATGCCTACTCTGATTGTATGCGACTGACTCGGTCGCGTCTTCACATGCTCATACTGATATTGTTGCGTTCCCGACCAGTGGCCAAAGGTAACGCAAAAACTTTGATTTGAACATCATATTTAATTTATTGTGGCGTAAATAACATTTGGATAAGGTTTAACCATGCAAAATAGCCCTGAAACGATATTTCCGTGGTAATAATGGTACTTGCTACTTTGTATTATAGGAATATGTTTGATGGTATTAGATTTTTAAATGTTCATACGAGTTCTTAAAAATTATCTAAGGTACAGGACCCTAATAGTTTCTAAAGCTGGCTATCGCAATGTTGTAGGCTGTTATAGGTTTTTATAGATACTCACGACTAAAAGTGGGTGGATAAGCCAGTATCTTGGTTCAATCAGATCACATTGCTGAGCATTTACGCTAGCAGCAGCTAAGATACATAGCACAGCAGATAGTATAGGTAGCATCTTAGGTAACTTTTTTTTTATTGCTGTTCAAGTCTAGCCACACCTCGCTTTTTATATAAAAATGTTTAATCTTTTTGATGATACTATCTAGATAATATTACATTAAGGGACAAGTATCCTAATACAATATCATCATAGAAATTTTATGGCACCTGATTAACAGTAGGCAATAGTTTTATTGAATTTGCACATGGCTTTGAAGTAGATTCAAAATCAAGTTCAACTCATTCAAGGTAAACGTAAGCATCACCTTTCAAACAGACGAAACAATACATTTGTTAATCAGATATGGCTTAATTAAAAAACGATCAAACAAATTCATTTCTATAATTGTTGTCTGAGATAATCTTCCTGGATTAACCCTTAATACCTCACTAACAAGTGATAAACTATCAAACATGTGAAGCAGTTTTCAGTACAGGAGCATTATAAAAACCATAAAACGTATTGTATGGAAGATTATAGCATCTAGTCGAAACTTCCGCTGACTTATTTCGATTGACCTCATCGGGCTGAAGGTTAAATGGTTATGTAACTACCCTGCTGCTCCATGGGTGTACGCGCGGAGCATGTAGGTGACGCCACTAGTGAAGTAACCATGTTTCCCAAGCCTGCAAGTTGGCTATCAATAGAATTACTTAAAGCAATGTTTTATGCTAGTGCAAAATAAAACATCTTCATCAATAGATCGTCACAGGTTGTGTGGAGCGATGGCTGGCCGCGACGTTGCCGGCTTAACCCGACGCTGGAGACTTTGATAGCTTCCGCAACAATTTTTATTTTCTCCGTATTGTGATTCAGGCGTGCTGCTGACAGATTGGACAGACATCCATATATAGAGATTCCAGATCCACGCAAATATTATGGAACGAAAAATTTAATGAATTGTGACCATGCTAGGACACCGTTTAAATAATCTAATAATCTCTCTCATGAGGTCAAGTGGCTTATGCTATAGAGTAGTCATAGCCAGAAGCAGTTACACATCCACAAAACATGGGATGCATTTTTCAGTCAACTGGAATGAGGCCGAGTTTCGTCCATGACGTGTCGTGATCTCTCGCTGTGTTACCGCGAGTGGGCACCATTAATATGCGTGGTAGCTAAAAAAAAGTTGATTTTGAGCATATTTTTGTAACTACACTCTAATTCATAACTACGCGTTGACCCAAACGTTCATTTGCTTAAATGGAATGCTAGGCAGCTTATTGAAGATCATTTAGATAGGTATTTTCTAATGAAGCAATTCGATAGGTGATATTATATTATTTTATTTTTAAGTTGCTGGACAATCCATCCAAACAAGCACAGGTTACACCTCCGCAACTATTATAGCTAGAATACTGAATTTTCCGGATGATCCTATATTTCCTGAAAATTCACTTACTTCTTCAGCCTTTTTAACAGCTCAGGGTGGCCAATTTTCAGGTGGAGGACCCTATATATTTCTATTTTCTTTGGTGCCGCTTTCCACATGCTACGACTAGTTTTTGAGTTACAGCTACCCTTTTTGTAAACTAGATGTTAATGGTAAATGAAAAATAATATAAATTTGAAGATACCTAATTGCGTTTGGTGGACAACGGCACATCGTTAGAACACCTTTTTTCTAATTAAAAATTAAACCTGCCTAGCCTGACGTGTTTTTAGTGCATAAACGGTTCATAACTCCATTATAACAGATGTTATCTGAAAATGTGAGTTAACCTAAAATATGCTTTAGACTTAAATGCCTGAAAAATGAATGGCTCATAACCGTTTTTACTGAAGAAGTGAAACATTAGGTATTATTAGCCGTTACTGAGGATAAAATTAAAAAATATCTAGTGTGTGGGAAAAAGTTCGAGATGGCAAACTTGCAGGTAGAACCCTCAAAAATAATTATTTGAAGACACGAAGCGCGATAAATAAATATAAAACTTACATCTCGAACATATCCTTCGGCTTTATTGTAAACATATGGATAAACATGATTTTTAATAAAAATGCATCAATCATAACAAACTAATGTCACTAAGTGATTTTTTTAATTAAAATGGTGTTGTCATATTTGCCATTTATCTCAATATCCAGTTTTCAAGGTTGGCTGCAACTCAAAAACTAGTATTACAAGCATCATATCAAGACGAATCTTATATAAAGGGGAACCGAGGATGTGAACATATATAGGTGCTTCATTTCTATCTTGTGAGAAATAGTTCGTTTACATTATTGACCACCCTGTACTGATTAATCAAAAAATTAAAGCAGATAGAGAAAATATGCAATATCGTGAAAGCTTTATGCAAAAAAATCTATTCGCTAGCTCTAACATTTGCAGAGGTCCGAGTTGTCAAAGATGTTTTCTTTTCGACAGATTGTCTCAAAAATTTTAAAACAAAAAATGTTATTTCAGATTGCTTCGTTCAATTAAAAAATGCACGTCATGGTTACAGCGTAGTTATGATTCACTCTGTAGGGATAAACACATTTTTCATCATGCTGGTGGTCAATTTTTCTGACTAACTTTTTTAGATACCATAACGGAGTTATGGGTCATGCCCACACACAAAACCTCGCATTGTAAAGTTTGATTTGACATAACTTGGGTCCTGTTCTGCAGCAATGGCTTCAATCCATTTGTAGATTGATAAAAAATTCCGATCCTTCATTCAGTGTCAATGCTCTTTGCAATAAAAGATCAGCAATATATAAAACACCCTTTATTAAGTACAAAACCATTTAGTATTAAAATGAATAATCAATAAATACTGAGATACAAAATACTGCTTAAGACTAAGAAAAATCAGCTAGACGTAACTATCAGTTTCATGACATATGACATTAAGTTTTATTTGCTTCAGTCTTCCCCATATTTTTGTATTATCCGTTTTTGCTCAATGAAAAACAAAATACTGAAATTGATACACGACATTTTTTTTATTATAATCTCCTGAAACCAATGATTGATCTAAATTACCATACTAAACTACATAGCTATAGTTGTCTAAGATCGAGCTAAGTACATACCCACAATACTTATATGAGTAGCTTGCCAGAGCTTTGAAAAATTGGTTACACCTTCTGGGATAAGTGTAACGCAGAATTCGACTATGTAACGATATTCACAGTGACATTAGCCATTTGAATGTTTTAGATCGTATATAATTACATTCAACTTTTAAATAAGATATGACCGTAATATATATTTTGCACAAAATCTCATACATAACGTGTATGCATCAGAACTGTAACACGCCGATGTTGTTACCTTAGATACAATAATGTGGAAGATATTAGAATGAACAAATAATATACTCGTATATCAGGAATTTCTCGTCTCGGCAACATGAGGTTCTATTTTATTAAGCTCATATTACCGAATCTTCCTGTATATAAGATATTATTGCATAAGGAGCGTCACATACGGTCTCATTTAAAAATAAAATTGTGACATATTATTTTTATAAACCAACTGAAACCCTGTATTTTAACTTATCCTCGTTAAGTTTTGAGTTAGGATATTCTTCTGGAATGGACCAGCGGCTAGAGAGCAACATTTTGAACTCAAGTAAGAGGCGTCAATACTTCAGTTATCTATAAGAGTAGGTGATTCCACTATCAGTCCCAAAGCTCCTCCACAATGAACAAAAATATCAAGTTTTGGCTATAAATATTCTGACACTAAATTATACCTTTTTGATGATAGTTCCCGTATCCGACTCCTCTGATGAAGGCGGTGACTCAGAACTAGATGAGTCCTTGCTCAAATTAGCACTCACTGATTTCACAAGCATCGGTATATGACTCTTCTTCCTATTATGATCTTTATCCTTACCACTGTCTTCTCTAAGGTGATGTTGCAAGTAAGGTTGGTTATCCGGTACCACAACCCTTGGTATGTGCTTCCCTTTATCTTCACTAGGCTTTTTGCTAATGCTTGGTTTCACAATCACTCTTGGATCCCGCCTTACATGTGCACTTGTAGGAGTCGTGACAGGCTTAGGCCTTAGGCTTTCGTAGACAGGTTCATTCTTGAGGTCGCCTTTACTGTTTACCAACTCATCCCTACTACTGTTGCTACTCTTAGGTATGAGTGGACCTATGAACAAGTTGTTGCATACTATTTCAGGTTCTTCGTTAGGCTCTTCCGCCAATGTGGGTTCTGAGATGAAACTCGGCAAAGGAAGGGACTCCGGTAGAGACTCAGTTTGCCTTGGAAGTGTCGATACTCTGGGAGGGGGCACTGGAGGAATCTTGGTACAACCTCTGCAAGTTGGAGAATTGGGCTGTGAAAAAGAACACGACTCGGGGATGGGCAGGAACAATCCATGCGCAGGCATAGACCTCCTCTTGTTGAGCACTGACTCCCTCCCTGGGTAATCAGGCAGTACCTTAGGATAGTTCCTTCTCTTTATTGTCATTAGGGACTCTGCAGGTGTCAATGGTGTTGGTGTAGGTTCATCGTCATCTTTTGAAGTCACATTCACGTAACTTGGGTCAAAGGTTTTCATTCTTCTCATCAACGTATAGTCAAGATCCTCAACTGGTTCTGACCTTGAATGGTGGTGATGATGCTCTATTTTTATCACAGTAGGCTCGGTTTCGGGATAGTTCACCAGATCGATACTTGTTGAGCTTTTGCGTAGTTCCTTTCTAATATCAATTTTTTTCGAAGAAAAGTCTTCCAAGGTGAATGACCTTCTTAGTGGTATCTCAATTTCAGGCTTCAAGTGTGGATAGTCTAAAGACTTGGTGAGCTCTATCGGCTGCTGCGCTAGAACGCTTGGACCTCTAGCAGCTGGTGTGGCATCCACAGCCACTGATACTTTTGGAGCTTTGATTTTCGGCCTCGTGATGGTAGAAGTCTTCATTTCAATTACTTGTCTTTTACACAAGCTTTCTGGGCTTACAGGCCTTGTTGGACTTCTACCCAGTGTGGAATTGTTTTCAGCATCCAATGGCAGGCAAAATGCTTCTGGAGGTAGATTCATTTTATTTTTAGCATTATTACCTCTTCTACAGAACTTTGGACTGTACTTTTGAATAATTTCTTGGGTGATCCAATCCCTTACTTTTGTATGTGCGTCTATGGTACTAGCTGACATTTGCCTAGTGAGCTCTTGTTTGGTTTCTAGCTTAACAGCGCCATAAGTATCATCACTTTTGGACGCCTTGCTCATCATCTTGACGATGTTACATCCATTCAACAAGAAAGCTTCTTCTTCCCTTTGCAACTTGTCGCCTTCAGTAGTTTCAGTTGCCTCATCTGCCTTTACCTCTGTACCCTTCTTCTTCTTGTAACACTTGAAATATAAAATAACAAACAGAACAACAACGTTCAACAAAAGAAATATACTCCCAACTATGGCTATTATATTGGCACTACTTCCTTGCTTGACTTCCTGAGGAGGAGCTTCTAATACAGTTCCATAAGCAGTCTTCACTATATTCTCAGGTCTTTCAGGTCCCATATCCTCTATAGTCCCATACACTTCACTTCTTCTGGGAGGAATGGATGTACCACTGTAGATACCCAGCATCTCTATGGGTCTTCTGGTACTGCTACGGTAGTTTTCCCATGGCAACGGATTCTTCTTATGGGCTGGAGGAGGTGGGGGTATATAAAATGGCCTTCTGGTCGCATGGACCTCTAGGAAGTTTTTGTGGTGGGACATGTAGGAGTGGTTGTCTTCAAGTTTGGGAAAGACGGTCGTCCAGAACTTGACTTCTTTACTTCTGTAGTGTTGGTTTGAGCGTGGAGGTATATCTGAAAAGAAGTAGTAGATACAGGATAGTTGCAGTGAAAAGGATATTTTAACCTGTACAATTAAAGTTATATCTTAGGAAAGAAAACTGTCAAATTGCTAACTCCACAACTAACTTCATCATCATAAGGACAAGGAATTTTGTATGATGATTCACTAAGCGCACTTACCTAGTTCCAGGTACCATTCCTCTGGTGGGTCAAACTCCTTCCAATCCACGTCGAATTGGTACCAGTATGCTGGACTCATGTTCTTGAACTTGTTCTTCCTTGGAAGATTGGGATTCCTGAAAGAAGAATAAGTTGGTCAGGCCAGTGGTTAAATCTTAGCCTGAAGCTCACACCTGATGGAAAACGTTTGAATAAATTACTAAGTACTGTTAAGACCAGCAAGACAAACGTGATCAATGGTAATTCAGTGTACATAAACTTTCCACTGACCCTTAATTTGATTGCACAATAGTTTATTTAAAACAAGGAAAATTCAAATTGTGATTTAAGACGCCACAAAAGTGTAGGCGGATTTTGGCGGGCTACACTACATACGTCCATACATAGTCTAATCATATTAAACGAAAATACCCCTGGTTCTGCAAAATCATTTTAAAGTCTGGTATTATTGCTGCAAATTGTTCAAGGGGGCGTTTAAAACATGGACGCATAAAATGGGTACACCAATTTTTGTGGAAAATCTTTTTATTCGACGACAAAGAGAGAAAACGTGTTTTTTGGGATTGAATCGAATGTTTTGGCAGGAACGAAAAAACTCTTTATATAAGATTTTTAGGTATTTATGAGACCTGCAAAATGAGACTGCACGAAAAAGGATGCGACTAATACCAAAAAAGTTAGCATTCGTTCAATTACTCACAAATACGAAATGTTTGAATTTGTTTAGAAGAAAAAACGTAACCCATCCTTTTTTGCATAAAATAACATTTGTCTTCCGGAATTGTTTGCGATTCATGTCGGCAAGGTAAACTAGTGTATTTTTAACTAACCCTGTATATTGCTCAATAAACTAGTAGTGATGGCCGGAAGATATGTGTTTTGGTATAAACAAATAGAAATTCTCAAAAAACTACTTTACCAAAATAACCCAATTTTGTTGTTGTTATTTAGAAGTATGATTCCTACGGATTTGTAGAATTTCAAGTAGTTTCGTGAAATTATCGTGGCATTACCAACAGGTGCCAAAACCTGCATTTTTCCCCGTTTTTCGGGCATAACATTTCTGATATTAGTCGGATCTTTCCAAGTGTAGTCTCATTTTGTAGGTCTCATTACCTAAATATCCTATATGAAGAATTTTTTCGTTCCTGCCAACACTTTCGATTGAGTTCCAAAAAACACGTTTTCTCATTCTTTGTTGTCAAATAAAAGGTTTTCAGACAAAAATTAGTGTACCCATTTTATCCGTCCGTGTTTTAAATACCCCCTGAACAACTTGCATCAATATAATCAGACTTTACAATTATCCCAGGGATTTTGATAATATGATTAGACCACTGACGAGAAAATGTTGTAATCAGGAAACATTTTGAAACTGAGATATTATGTTCTTTTTGAAGTATAACATCAGATATCCCGACATTCGCAAAAATTGAAATGTTCGTATATGTCAGTCAAATGTTCAAAATTTTTCAAAAAGCTGAAATTCAAAATCATTCTGAAGAAAAACTCATATCCTACCCCCAAAGCCAATTCTTGTGATAAGCTTAGTTATTTCTGGTTCAAATTAACGTTGACGACCAAAATTACAGTGGCTTCTTTGAGAAAAAATGGTATGTCGAATCCCAAGGGCCGAAAAAAGGTCCCTTTTTCGTCAAAGTGTTTTTTATCAGTTTCTGAGTGGTGAGCATCCTGTTTACTTCTATCAAGAAACAACGGACTTATTCTAATTGTTTACAAGGCAAAAATAGATGAGCCCTTAGCGACGCTTTCTTACATGGTTAGTATGAAAAAATCTACTATCTGTTTGAATAAGATATCAAAACAAGTGTATAGCAATGTGAGGCCAATTGATTGATACAAAGTCGCTTGACAGCTCCTTAAAAAAAACTACTAATATTTCTGAAAAAAATAGTTTTTTTCTGGATGCTGAGCTCCATAAAGGCTTCAACTTTTGACCATTATTTCAGATTTACCGTTGTCCAATAAAATATAGAATTGGAAATCGACGATTTCTGGCGATTTCTTGAGATAACAACTTAACCGTTATGGCAAGTTCGTCAAGTAAGGTCTTATTTTGAAAGTATTTTCATTCCCATCATCCTGGATCATCCACACCAATAATTCATAGTTATTTGAAGAAAAAGTTGTTTTTCCAACTTTAATGTTTAATAAGAAGGTTAGCCAGCAGAGCTTTCTGCATCTCTCGGCGAAGGGACTTTCTGTATACCCGAAAAATATAATTCCCTTCTTAAACAGCTACATTTTCTTTTCTCTTAAATTCTAGATATCCTGATCTTTTGTCAAATCCAATTTGTCAGATTAACCGTACGTTTTCACGTTGGATGCAGAGTCGGTCTGCCCATGCGGACTTGACATCTCGGTCGAGTACGAGGGATGTCCTTTAAGTTTTGTATATGGAAATAAAACAACACGGTAGGTAATTTTAAATGACTTTATTGTTTTTCGAAGTATTCTCCGCGAAGATTAATACACCTGCATGCGCTCGAACCAGTTATCGAAGCACTTATTCCACTCGTTTGCTGGCAGATCCAAAACGGCATTTTTGAATGCGTCAACTGCTGCTTCTGGTAACTGGAACCTTTGACCACGCAGTCTGTTGTTAATTTTCGGGAAGGTAAAGGAATCGTTAGGACTTAGATCGGGACTATATGGAGGATTTTCCAATAATTCCACGTTTTCTTCCGTTAAATACTGCCTTGTTTTTTGGGCTGTGTGCGAGCTTGGATTGTCTTGGTGGAGGATGATTCTTCCTTTGGGGTTGATTTTTAGAAGCTCGGTGATGACTTTTGGCAAACAAATGGCGGTATACCAATCCGCAATAACAGTTCTTTGCTCATTAAGGAATTGTTGCAATATGACCCGTTTTTGACACAAATGTCGCGACCATCTTTTTCGAGACACTTCAAGAACGGATGATTTTTTGTTGGCTTTCCTTCACCTTGGAACACCCAAACAGCCGACTGTCGTTTATTTTCTGGTTCGTAACAGTAAATCCACGACTCATCACCACTAACAATGCTGTTTCCGGAATTTAAACGGTCAAGCGTTTTTTGACACCAATTAACCCTGGCTGCTTTCTGCTCTTCAGTCAACAGGTGGGGTATCCAACGAGAAACTAATTTTCTTACTCCTAATTCTTCATGTATATTTTTTTGAATTGAGGTCTTTGAGATCTTCAAGGACGCCTCAATCTTGCGATATGTCACGTGTCTATATTCAGTGATGAGTTTGCGCACAGCATCCACGTTTTCATGGGTGACTGCCGTTTTTGGTGCACCCACCCTGGGATCGTCGCTAAGACTCACCCGTCCACGTTTGAGTTCTCTATACCAATGGGAAATTGACGACTGATGTGGCGCTTTGTTGCCGAAAACAGACAGTAACTAAGCAAGGCATTCTTAAAGTTGTAATAAATTATGCCGCGAAAATGTTCTTGGCTGAGTTCCATTTTTCTAATGACTTGGTGACACTTAAAAATTCACTGTAGTGAGAACACTTCATATATTGTTGCGAAACTTTGAATTTAAGTTTACTAAAGAGTGAGGTTAACATTCAGTACTGACGTTCGATCCACGCGGCCTACTATGTTCCTATATACAAAACTTAAAAGACATCCCTCGTATTAGTAAAAAACTGGCTCACCGTTGCACTGCCTATACGTTCTATAAAGGATACCCCAATTTTAAAGACACTGAGTATTGATATTACCTCTCCAGCCGCAAAATAGCCAGACGCGAAACGTTCTAGCAGAACCTGTTTGAACTGTGAATGCACTATATTTTCCCAGCAAATGTCAACACCCTCGACAAAGATAACTAGCAGGTAGGTATGTACTCACCCGGTGTTGGCGAAATTGCAGAAGTAGGTCATGACGATCTCGGAGAAGAGCCTCTCCTGGTCGGTGTAATTGTTGTGGAAGTGCAGTCCGCCCAGCGGCACGCCGAACACATACGGCAGTTCTTCGCCGTTGTGACTCTTGCCCCTCTGAAACAGAACGAGGAGACGGTCGGTCAGGACAGAAATAGACGTGATGGACGGGATGAGCGCGGAAAAGTGGGACAGGCGAGACACTCGTTTTCTTTGGATGGCGCAGTGGAGAACATATCCTTTTTTTGGACTTAATAATAAAGCAGATATGCAGAAATGGCATATCAGTCCTTAGTCGCGAAAATTCCGAAAATGTGATATTACATTTTTTAGATGTTATATGACCCGCGGATCACAGGAAATCATATAACTCATTTCCGTTGGTCTGTCCGCCCTTCTCTTTCTCTCTGTGTCTGTTTGTCTATCAGCCTGACGAAATGATAGGAATATTCCAAAAACGGAAAGGCTTTGTAAATCGCTCCAGAGGCAGCGCAACAAAAAAAATAAAAAAACCTCCCTACTTCGTTTTGGGACATCCTCCTGACCATTTTCAGATGTGTTTCATATTGTAAATTAAGGATTGGGGGTTGTAGGAGGGGGAGGGTATACCTCAACAGACATATCTCAATTTTCTGGCACACACGCGGAGATTCCCTTACATTTGCCCCTAAAGAATGTAGGAGGGTGAAATTATGAATATTACAAAATTTAGTATATTCCAAAAGTTTGCAAGCGCCTAAGAATTTTTAAAACCCAGAAATCTTCAATATTTGAAAATTTTCGTAATCTACTCGGTAATTTTCTTATTCTGAATATTTATAATGACTTGAACATTTTGGATACCTTGGAATACTGTGAAAAGCCTGAAGACTTAGAGGATTATGGAAAATTCAAACGTTTAGAGGATTCTAGACCTGACAGGTTTTAAAAGGTTTAAAGACTTGGACAATTTTACTTGCAAATATTGTGGGACGTTAAGCTTCCCAGGCACAAGATTGGCGATAAAATAGAAAAGTTGACAACCTTCAAACTTCAAAAAGGAAGCCTCATACCTGATTATTGATGAATGTCTAGTAAATTCTGATCGGGGTTGAATCTGTCAAGGTGATAGCTCCTTTATAAACAAAAGTTCTCAGTTTCTCCAATTTCATTAATTTATGTTGCCAAATGCTCAATTGGTGATATTGATAGCGAAGATTTGTTATACCTGAGGTTTTTAAACACACTATTCTCAATGTTCTTTGATGTCCACTAGATTCACATATACACAGTTTCATTGATCTGACAAGCGTTTCCTTTGATTATCCCTCAATATCCGAAGACGAAACGAAAATAGACGTAGATCAAAATAGAATGCTGCTAGAACTGACACGGAAAATATCTGCTAAACAAACGATTAATATATGAGTCATTGTGCAGTGTTAAACTTACGAAACCATAAACTTCTCTATATTTAAACAGCTGTTTGCAGGTTATTGACCGAATGATATAACAGTGTGAATATGATTGCAACTATGTATTTATGTCTTCGTTCATAGACTACGTTTGTTTAAAGTCTCAGTTCAGTGGGAGACGTTATGCAACTGCTTTTGGCTATGTTTTGCCCATTAAAAACGTGAGGCGTTTTTGACGATTGTCTGAACCCCAACCCCGACCCTTTATCTCACATGTTTTTTTTTTAAATAGAGTTCTAGTGTGACTGTGTTACATTTAATCAAATTTGCATCATTTTTATTCAAGACTAGTAAGTGCAGACCAAGTTTTTAAGATTGCTTTCTTGCAATTTTTCAGTTATCCATACCCGCGTACAAGGCTAGCCTTCTGCGGGTTTTCCACCATGTTTATTGTTCTAAAATATGTCATTTCTAGTTATCTGCTGATAGTCTGGACAATAAACATTATTATTATTATTATTATTATTATTATTTTGATCATTATTATTATTTTGATCATTATTATTATTGTTATTATTATTATTATTATTATTATTATTATTATTATTATTATTATTATTATTATTATTATTATTATTATTATTATCTCCGGGGAAAATGACGTGATATTTGTCAAGACCTCTCTCTCTTACGCGTGATATTGGGTGAGATTCAGCTCGATCCTCTCCCCCTGAATAAACACCTCACGTAATTACTGGATGGCCCTCCACGGCCACGAGATTATCAAAATCATCATCAATAACAAATAATCAATAACTTTCTTTTGCGTACTGTGTACTGAAGGTGCTGTTCCAAATTCAGGCTAGCACACAACATAATATAAGAGAAGACCTGAAAATGAAGTGCACTGTCGCATGTTTTAAAAACGCAAACAGAAGTAAGTACGTAGGTCAACTTCCTGATAAATCTGCTAGACATTCATGGCAGACTAGGCCTTCTACTGCGTGGCCCTTGCAGGATATAAACAAAACCACGTTGCTCCGGATGGAAACGTGCAGCAAAACAATCTAAATACTCTCGCGAAGTACCAATGACACATTGAAACCTCTCACGGTTAACTAACATCAACATTATTGCTGTAGGAATGCTTCAATGTTGGCTTTGTTCTGTAAACATGTTAACCTACACAATTCGGCTCACTTCCAGTTTTCATATACAGGGTGGCGCATCGAAAACGAAACTCATTTACTGGCAGCTCAGTTTTTTTTATTTTTAAAAACGCTCAGACCCGTCGATTTTGTTTTCGAGGGGGACACAAGTTTGGCAAAAAATCACGTTAGCACATACAGCCCCTAAGCGGGGGTGACACCACCCCCAAAATCTTAAACGGAATGGGGGGTCGAGTGATACCTTATTTTAAAGGTCTTTCAATTCCCTTTGTAATGATATAAAATTAATGTACTTCAGTTCAGTAGTTTTTAAGAATTATTGATTTAAAGCTTAAATAAAACTAATACATCGTCAGAAGTGGCAAGTAAATGTTGAAAATGGCTACCATGACTCTCCATGCAATAATAAAGATTTTGCTCAAAACGTTGCTGCACATTTTGCAATTATTTGAGGAGTAATTTGAAGGCACTCATTCACAATTCCTTGTCGCAGGTCTTCTAATGATGTTGGCTGAGTAGCATAGATTTTGCTTTTTGAATAACCCCACATAAAGAAATCCAAAGGTGATAAATCTGGCGATCTTGGGGGCCATTCAATGGCACCTCTTCTACCAATCCATCGATCTGGAAACGTCTGATCTAAATATTGTCGAACACGTAATGCGTAATGTGGTGGGGTACCATCCTTTTGGAACATCAACCTATTCGCAATGTATTGCCGATCATTCTGATTTTCAATTCTGGCTGTTAATGCAGGATATATGGGGTCTTCCAGTAATTTCAAATTTCCAGGTAAGAAAAAAGGACCAGTTTTTAAATGCCAGCTCAGACATTTAATTTTTGTGGCTGCTGTGTATGAACCTCATGATAAATTCTGGGATTAGAATCGGACCAATATCGGCAGTTATGACGATTTACTACGCCATTTAAGAAGAAGGAACATTAGTCGGAAAAGCAAGCGTTGGATAGAAAATGTTCATCGTTTATAATTCGTTCAGTCATATCTTCACAAAATTGTGATCGCCGATCAAAATCGTCTTCATTAAGTTCTTGTACCAGGTGAATTTTATACGGATGAAAACTATGGGCCTTTAGAATCCGTTGGACAGTACGGCGACTAACACCACACACAGTCTCTAATTTGCGGGTACTTAACGTAGGATCTACATCAACTTGCCCTAAAACCTCCACTTCTATTGCTTCGTTCCTTATGGGATTTTCAATGTTGAGTTTTTTATTGGCGATTGACCCAGTTTCCCGAAATTTAGCTACAAGTTCCAGAACATATTTTCGATGCACGTTACTGTTCTCGTGTCGCTCATTAAATATTTCTGCTGTTCTATTAGCACACTGATTATTTCCGAAAAATATTTCGATACTTTCAACTCTTCTTTCCAAAAAAAAACTGAGCTGCCAGTAAATGCGTCTGTTTCGATGCCCCACCCTGTATATGTTAGAAGAAAAATTTGTCCATTGTTACATGAACTATATGCTATCTAAAGGAAAATCCCAACACTACACAGAGTTCATGTTTCTCTTATAGTCTAACACCAATCATGCTTAAATTGAAAAATTTGTGATATTATTACATTATGTTGAAAAGGTGAATGCCTACCAGCACGCTAGGAACGTGACAAGAAGAGCTTTGTAAACGAAAAATTACAAAGATGACAAAATAAAAGACAGCATTTCCCACAGGATATGTATTTTTAGTCCAGATATTTTTAAGCGACCTCCGAAACTTTCTTTATTCCAAATCCTAAAATTACAACTTTCTTCATTGGCTTCAGCATATTTACTCTTAACGACATTTTCTAGCATCTGGGAGTATGTTTGTCATCGTACAGGTCAGAGCGCTCTTGAAATAGCGTTTCAAGTTTAAACTTACTTTATGTTTCTAACGATTGCGGAATAAAAATGAATAGAAAAGTATTTTTTGACAGAATGACGGGTATTGGGTAACTAGCACATTATCTCGATTACAGCTTTGTTCTTTATTGTGCGTAGGTACTTCCCTCACCTATTACCGTGGTAAGTAAAATTAAAGGAAATCAGTATTCCACTGAAATTAGGAATACTCAGAGAACACTTCAACCGTCACCATCAAAAGATGTTTAACCACTTCTATTGCGTGTATACAGAACTCATTGATAAAATAGATGTTGTATTTACAAGGCAGTATACCGAGATAGTTAGGTCATTTATTAGAAAAAGGACCTTCAGGATTAAACAAGAAGATTTTCTGATCTTCCGGTAATAAGTGCTGGAGTGCCGGGGAGTTTTCTAGCTCCAGTGCTGTATCTTGTGTATAGGTATATAAGGTATTCCTGATATACCTAGTCTAACAGTTGAAAAATATGCAAATAATACAGTATTGGTTGCACCTGAAAGAGATCTATCAAGTTCTGTTGTATGGTTTGTGGTTTTTTTGGGATGGAAAATATCATGAAATTATATATATTTTCTGTCTCCTGAAAAATTAATTAATTAAGCGATGGATGATTAACGTACCTTTCAGAGACACAATTTCCTTTTTTACTGAACTCAACTTGCA